ATTAAATAGCTGTAGAATTATTCCTTTGCAAAACATTTTATGATTTCAATGTGCAAATAAATGACGTTTCCTGTAAAAATGAACCGATGTTTGTGGTTTTAACCATTTCCTGATCAAGAGAGCAGGAAACTTATTAGTATAATTTTAACATTTTATTTTTTTCTCTGTGATTCAAATAAACTGACCGTCATTAAGAACAATTACAAAAGCATGTGGTGTATAAATGTTTGCTGCAGTGGCTTCAGGCTGACTCCACTGATGTGATAAAGAGGAGAAACAACTGGATTATGTAGCTTAAATGTGTCCAAATATCTGACAATAATACAGAATGATTGTGGTGTGATGGGAAATAAAACTTTTTTTCCACGTTTCTCTGTTGTTCACCTTTAACCCATATCAAGAAAACACATTTTTTACATAAAATGTCTAATCATGCCCTCTTCCAAAAATAAAACAAAAAGGAACTAAACAGAATGATATTTCTAGATTAAATATAGACTAAAACTTGTGGCATCATATGCAACAACAAAAATATCCTGTGTGTCGGATGTTGCAGAAGTTACCAAACAATGACAGGAGAAAAGGAGATATAAAAAGAGATCAGACTTTTCTCTGAGTTAGAACATGGAAGATATGTCAGAAAGTGGAGAAAAAAACTATTAACTCATAAAAAATAACTGTCTGTTTGGTCTTAATATTATACTTTTATCAAAATGTTTTGTCTTTTTTCTGAATAACATCTTGAATGTCAAATCATTCAGAATCACAGCTGAATTTATTGTATTTTCTTTTAAAGCTGCTCTTGGTGAATAAACATGTTGCAGTCAGAATGATGTGATGTTTCTCTCCCACTGGCTGCAAGGTTTTGTGGAGTTAAACTGGTCAACAAAACCATCACAAATGCATTAACATTTTTGAAAATTAGTAACATCAAATCATCAATGAACATCAAATATGTTGGTCCATGTTCCAGTTATTATGGTTCAAAGGCAACAATGAACATGCGTCTTGATTTAGTCTTGATTTAACTATAGCTGTAAATCCCAGGTTATTTAGAATAGAATAGCATTTATTGTCATTGAACAGGATTCAACGATATTTCTATTGCAACTCCCGTGCAAAAAGTCTAATATATACAATATAAAATAAACAAACACACAATAATAATATATACAACTAAAATTAACTAAACTAAAGGCTCTCAACCACACCAAAGAAAAAGCAGCAGGTCCAATTATGGTAAAGTGCAGATGATGTGACAGTGCAAGTGCAATGGCTGTGTGTGGGGTGGGGAGTATGTGAGGTTATGATATGTGTGGGAGGAGGTGGCGGGGGACAGCAGGGGGCGGCAGGGAGTAATGGCTCTGACGGCTGTGGGGAAGAAACTGTTTCTCAGTCTGTTTGTTGTCATCCGTATATTCCTGAACCGCTTGCCTGATGGCAGCGGCACAAACAGACTGTGGCCCGGGTGGCTGGAATCCATGGCTATGGATCCAGCTCTCTTCTTGACCCGGCCTATGTAAATAGAGTCCAGGTCCGGGAGGGGGCATCCCACAATGCCTTGTGCTGTTTCCTCTCCAGTGCTGTGCAGCTACCATACCACACAGTCACGTTGAGGCAGAGGACGCTCTCGATCGTCGCCCTGTAAAAGTTCACGAGCAGCCGTGAGGAAAGTCCAGCCCGTCTCAGTTTCCTGAGGAAGAAGAGCCTTTGAGGAAATATCCCTTTTAAGTTATAAAACTCCTCAGATATTAATTTCTATCTGCCTGTTGGTTCTCCATCATCCAGGACATGACGAAACTAAAAAAGGCTTTAAAATAAAGCAACTTAAGTTATAATTTAAATATCCCGTGGCTTGCATTGGGAGCCATTACAATATGTTTATGAGGAATTTTATTAAGAGCAGTTGCTGATTAGCTGCTTTTCTTTTTATTTAGAACTTTAACTTTTTGTAGCAGAGATTAGATCAGTGAGACTGAACAAAACTCGTATCCAAACAACATTTGAATTTTATTTTACTTCTCAACAGGAATCTTACTGAGAAAAACATGTTTGATTTGCATTTCTAGTTATTTTTGCTCCTGCAGCTTGAACGGGGTTTAAAAACGTTTTAAACATTTTCTATTACATTTCACTGTAACTCTGCTGACCCCCAAAAAATTGGTCTTAGGAGATTTTTCCTATTTTTGATCCCCAATAATGAGATGGGATTTTCACCCTTGGTTGAATGTTGTGCATTTTTGATTCAGTAAGGAGCCACACCTTTACACTGCGGGTTCAAACATCGGCCCACTCAATCTGACTGCGCCACATGTCAGCGTGCTGCAACATCTGGGCCTCAAGCAAGAACACAAATTCATTGATCTCAAGTCGCAGCTTCCTTCTGTCGTGAGTTAGCAGAAACATTGCATTCGAACCATCAACCTGTGATTGTGGTCATTCAGAATTGACTCTAGTTTTCAGTAAGATAAATAAAATCAAGGGCATAGATTTAACAAACCGACACAATTAAATGCTTTTTACGAAACCTTGATGTTTATAGTGTGAGATTAAGTCACTTCCCTGCTGTTCTGTATTCAAACAGGCTGAAAACTCCAAAGCTACCAGACACACAGTTAGAGAAACAATAGAAATTGGTGACATTTATTAAATGTCCTTCACCAGACATTTGTTTAAAATTCTGTCTGTGTTTTATTTTTATTTTCAGTGAGTGAGAATTGAGAGAAGGAGGAAAATGTTCAGCTGAAGTTTGATGTTGATGAACCAAAATCCAAACGCCCGCCACCTCGACGCCATGTTGAGTTTACGCTGCAAACTTCTTATCCTTCTTTAACTTCTTGACAAGTTTTCAAAATTGTTTTTTCATTTCACAGTTGAGTCTAAAATCTAAACTTGTGAGGTTTATTTGACTTGCAGATTAGAAGTTAGGAGTTTCACATAATACAGAGACAGATTTCATTGTTGTGCCAACAGGCACTGCAGATGTTGACTTAACTCAACAGACCTTATCAGATTTATTTGCAGACATGAATCTGAGCACACATCAGACTCTAACAAAGCAAATGATTTATCTCCAGAAGCAGCAATAAATGGGGAATATCCTGTATTTGTATCAGACTTTCTCAAATCCAGAGAAAACTAAAGCACTTCACACTACATTCACTCACCTGGTTTCTTTTGCAAAGCCCTTTGAACTGCCTTGCTTCTGAAATGTGCTGTACAATAAACTTGACTCCAGTACCTGCACTGTGAGTGAGGAGTGAGACGTGTGTTAAATGTCTGAGTTTCCCCAGCAGGGGGCAGTGCTGCCACATTACTGCAGCCAGCAAGCACTCAACGCTTTTATGGTTTTTTATATTCTGGTTGCATCCTTTTGTGTTTTAGTTGGATTTTGGTTTGTAAAGCACTTTGTGCTGCACTATTGTAAATTGTTTCCTATTTCAAGCTGCATTTTAAAGGGGTAGGAATATGTGTGCTCTGTTTTATAGAATAATTAAATACCTATGTTACCTTCAGGTATCAAAATACTATATATCAAATATGACAAACAAAATCTTACTTCTTTGAAATTGTCCTTTTGAATTTAATTCAGATTAACTTGTTTATTTGCTGGAGTTACAAGTAACTCTTTGTTTTAGTCCTTTTAATTTTGAGTGTTTGTAAAACCTTGTTTTTCCCTGATGCAGTAGAGTCTCTGGGTGGGCAGCTCCAGGCCTCGAGGGCCGGTGTCCTGTCACTTTAAGATGCGTTTCTACTTCAACACACCTGGCGGTTGGAGTTGGTGCTGGAGATGATGGAGAGGCTGGAGCTGAGATGGTGGAGTGGAGGCTGGGCTCAGGCTGAGGTAACAAGCTGTTCAGATGAGCAAACCATTTTTTACTTCTGTTTTTTTATATAATGTATTCATATTTTTATGTTTCTGTGTGTTTTTCTTCTTCTCTGTTTCTCCTCTCTAGAGCTTCTGTACATCACAAGGTGGAAACCTGGCAACTGCACCAACCAACAGTGAATATGATTGGCTGAGAAGCTACAGCTACAGCCAGGCCAGGACGTACAGATTGATTTGGATCAGAGGTTCTGATGCTCATTGCAATTATTGTTCTGCAGAATTTGTGAGACTTCAAAAAATTATTTTAAATTTTTTGCCCATTTTAGATGAAATTACCAGAAATTCATTAGATAAAAATTAATGAACAAAGTTGCTAATTGAAGGAATTATTGTTATTTTAAACCCAACAGATTATTTATAGATTTCAAACATTCAGCCTTTACTTCTTCTCTCTCCTTGTGCTCCGTCCTTGTAGGACCGCCTGTGGCTCTGGAGCGACGGATCCCGGTTCGACTTCAGAGACTTTGTGCAATTCAGGGCCTCCAAGCAGCAGCACTTACAACTGCCTGGCAACGAATCATAACTCTCGTAAACTGCTGAAATCACTTTGAAATAATATCAATAACTTAAATCATACACAGAGGAATCAATTTACTGTTAAAACCATTGAATCACTTCGTGCTTGCAGGTTGCTATTGCGGTGCTGCCCTCCCATGCAACAACCATCACCCATTCATCTGTGTTAGGAAATAAACACAGAAATGAAGGAACGTCCAATGAAGATGTCTCACCAATCTGACTTTTCTTCACTTCTCTCCCTCTGCTGTAACGCTACAAAATGAGAGACGCGACAAGATTGAGGAGGTGGATTTTCTCTTTGGTCGTGAGCCAGAGAGGAAACTGGATGTGTTGTGGATAGAATGCTTTTCTCTCAGCTTAACCTTCTCTCTTCTTTATTGCAAAATAAAGTTTCTGAAGCATTGAAACAAGTTGGATTTTTTTTTTATACCTTGAATGACTTTTGAACAGATTAAGAAAACAAGGAACACGGCTGCGGTGTGTTATTGTGTGGTAGAACTTTATAGTTCTATACATTTCCTATGATGACCTTTCACCTGAATAGGTGAAAGGTGACCTTTCACCTAAATAGGTGAAAGGTCATCTACATTAAAGCCACATATTTGGGCCCTGGAAGGAGATAGAGACTGAAATCTGATTGGATGAAACATTAATAATCCACACAGATGAACGGGAAGAAGCTGAGCCAAGAAAAGGCTTCATTAAATTGAGTTATTTAATTAATGACCATTTAAGGTTGTAGGAATATGTCAGAGGCTCTGGTAGTTTAGATCAGCAGAGAAGGACTTTATGTAAAACAGAGTCACAATGACTGCAGATGTGGGTGTGAGACCGAACATGACGAAGGGAAACTGAGATGAGTGAGGCTTAGTGAGTCCTATTTCTGATACTTTAAAGAAGAACAAAAACAACTAAAACATTGTTTTTCTTTTGCAAGATGCACAGATATCAGGTCAAAGGTGAGGTGACGTTTGGCGTCCTTGGTGTCCACGTCCACATCTGGGTAAAAACATTTCACGAAACAAACACAGGACCAAGAGAAGAGGAGCAAACATGCATGTGAGTTAGAGTATTCACTACTGCATGACAGCAAAGCTATTGTGCAACATACAGAAATGTATGTGCAACATTTCTGTCTTGTTCAATACTTCCTCCTGTGAGTCAAATAAAATAATTCAGTTAAGGAATAACAAGCAAACTGACAGTGAGAAAACATGAGAAAAACTTTTAGCCAAATTTACAAATGACCTAATAATAATAGATGCTTCTGTTGAATATGAGCATTTTATGATGCAAAATATAGAATGATGATGTTGTGAATGTAATTTTATGACCAGAAACCACAAGATAATGATAGTATTATTGCTTATAGGTACAAGATTTTAAAAAAGAAAATAATGGAGATAATCTTCAGGTGGCACAGGAGCAAAAGAAAGATCAGTGGCAGCAAACATATTTACATAAAAAGAATAAAATAATAGAAAGAGTGCAGCAGAATTGTTTACAATGTTAAGAGCTAATAACACAATAAAAAGGTAAAGCTTCCTGAAATGTAAATTAAGAAACATGTACATAAAGTGTGGAGAAGAAAAAAGTATTTGTTTCATAACATGAGAAATTGTGAATAAGTTTAAGGGGCATGAAGACTTTTACAAGTTCCTGCATTAAACAGCCTTTCCTCTAGTCCTCTAGTCATAAAGAAAGTTTCAGCTGCTTTGTTTGCTCCTTCAGATGAAACAACATAGATATGAAATTATGTTAGAGGAACAAAACACAAGTAGCATTTCAGTTGAAGATTAGAGGAGCAAAGCACCAGCAGCTTAGTGTTTGGTTGTAAGATCTGTGGACATTGGGACAACAGAGCTGTGGGGTTGGTGGTCCTGTTCTGGGCCAAGTTCCAGTCCAGGCCTGGAAAAAACATTTCACAAAATAAAAAGAGGATCTCACAAAGAGAAGTTTGTTTCACAACCGTACTTCCACTAGCTTATTGAGTAATTCCTTTGCTCATTAAATATTTTAGCAAATCGATTGCACAATGCATGTGAAACATTTTTGTACTGTTCATTGTCTCCTCCCTTGGGTCAAATGAAACATTTCCATTTAAGGATGTGAACTCAGGTCAAATACTCATTAGATAAAAGAAGAGAATGAAAGAGAGATGCTTCCAGGCTTAAAACATGCTTCCTTTATGATTTATCCAAAACATGAAGGAAGTAGGACTGGAATTTGCCACAATGCATATTGACAAGCCACAAAACTTCTGGGAAAATGTTCTTTTGTCAAATGAAACAAAACTTTATGACCACAAACTCAAAATGAAGAGTGAAAACTCTGTCCCACTGAGAAACATGGAGGAGTCTTGGCTATGTTCTGGGCTGCTTTGCTGCATCTTTAATCTGTTCAGGATACAATAAAATCTCAAGACCATAAAAGGCCTTAGGGACAGAAATGTTCTTCCTGGTGTCAGAAAGCTTGACCTCCGTCACAATCAAAGGCCTTCCAGCAGGATAATGACCTGAAACATGCAGCCAAGAACACGCAAAAGCAAAACAACGGATTTTTCTGCAAATGCTACTGAACATCTGAGGACAAACCGAAAAACAAACTTCAAACCTGAAAGCAGTTTGGCCTGAATACTTGTGGACAGTTACTCTGTCAGTGTTTCATAACCTGGGGTTGCCAACAACTGTGTGCATGTGCATGAATAACAATAACAGACTTTAAAAAAACAGGAATGTTTTCACTCTGTAACTTAGAACAAATTTAATTTACTCTCTGAGGAAGAAACAAAACACTTCATGTTCCATAAGTGATTGTTGATCAGAGTATGCAATTTGCATACGGTCACCCCTTCTTTAATGTTTCAGTTTCCTCCTTTAAGATGTGATGTTAAGATAAATGTGTCTATAAAAGCCGACTTACCATTTCTGTATCTGACCTGAAACTTCCTGATTCAGAGCTCAGAGTGAGAGGCTGATTCTTTTCTGCAAGCCCTTTTTGCTTAACCTCGTCCTGTTTTTCTGGTTCTTGGTTGTACTTTGATTTTGTATGTTTCTTTTTTCAGGAGGTGATAATTATCTCCCAGTGACCTGCAGCCATGAGGATCCTGCCTCTGCCTCTGCTTCTCTGTGGCTTGATGCTTCTGAGCAGCGTTAATGGTGAGTATTCTGTCAGTAAGTGTGAGAAGCAAGAATCCTTTGAGTTGTGCAACTAAAATTATTTGACTGAAGAAAATGAATGTCATTTTTAACATTAAAAATTTTCATATATAGTTCCTGATACTCTATATTTCTATATTATTGGTTCACTTTCTTTTCAGGATTTAGTTACACCGAGTCAAAAGTCAATCCAAAAATCTTTTTATAGGCTTTTTGGGTCAGTACTATAGTATTGCGGTTTAAAAGTTCAAACTTTTATGCCATATTAGTGAAGATTAGTTTGATAATTTTCAGGGCAGTATTCACTATTAGATAAATGGTGTCATAGATAATGTTTTTTATTTTTTTTCCCACAAAGAGATCAATGGACATAGAACTTACTGCCCTCATGGTTGGCGTCTGATCCATGGACGCTGTTTCAAGTATGTCCCGAGACGTATGACTTGGGCCAAAGCTGAGGTACGACTGGACTATGACTCATGTTTATATTCTTTAATGTTGCGTCTTCCTAAATAAAAAGCAGATAATTATATTCACAATTGTTTACTCTTCTTTCTTCCGATTGATTGGCAGAGAAATTGCATTTCCATGGGAGGAAACCTTGCATCTGTGCACAGTTCTGATGAATACCATGGAATTCAGGGGCTCATTTTGCAGGTCACACATGAGATGAGAGAAGCGTGGATCGGCGGCACTGATGCAGCTGAGGTTAGCATTACCCAGTATTACTCTATTCATCAGAACCTCCTCAACACAGACTCTAAGAGGTTTTCTCTTGATGCGTCTTGCAGGAAAATCATTGGCATTGGTCTGATGGGACGCTGATGATGTTTACAAACTGGTGTCCCGGAGAACCCAACAATCATGCTTATCACCAGCACTGCATGCAAATGAATTTCTCAGGTAAAACTGTTCTTTCTTTTAAGCACGATAAAGTCACTTCTTATAGATTTCTGATCACATGCAAAAACATAAAATAAATAAAGATATATTTTATTTTTAGTGGTGGAAAGTTTTTTCAGTTTGAATGCCCCTGTTACTTTTAAAAGGCTTCAGGCTTTTTTTGGTCTAAAACTGTTTTCTGTCTTTTTCTCTTACAGGAGAAAGGTGCTGGGACGATTACAGATGTACGGTCCGCCTACCCTCTGTCTGCGTTTTGAAGAAATGAAGCAGGGCTGAGCTGAAGACATGAAGAATCTTCCTCATTTCACGTCTTTTATTTTCCATCTATGCTGCTTGACGGATGACGCGACGCAGCACATCGACAGAGGAACTCTGTCTTGCTTCTCATGCGATCAGAACAAATGTACTGTAAAGTAATTCCTTCATGTACTTTCTTGCTGATTAAACTTTCATTCTTGTTCTTTGCAAAATTAAACGGCAGGCATTAAAATATGCTGGTCTGGATGTGTTTGTGTTTGGTGTGTAAAATGTTTTATTAGTTTCAGCTGGCTGGGTTCTCAGCTGCAGCTCAATCAAGTTAACTTTATTTTTATTGTACATTTTAGCAACAAAGCAGATCAAAGTGCTTTACATTATGAAACCATAACACAATGAGAAAACACTGTAAAAGGTTTGAGGCACATTTAGTTGTTTCTACTAACTTCTAGACTATACATCAAATAAATCTTGCAAATTTGACATTTTGAATTGAAATGTGTGTTTGTAAAAAACAAACAAACAAAAAAGACTCATTAAAATGTCATTGTGAGGCTAATGCAATCAATCTGAAAGTTGAGTTTAAACCTTTACACAAAACATGGACCAGTTCTGTAGCAGTGAAGGATCTGGGATGGACTAAACCAAAAAACTTTTGTTTGAATTATTTAGTTTTACTCCTTTAGGTTTCACAAGAAAAGAAAAAGAAAATTTTAAGGATGGATAAAATTGGTTTGGCTGTTAAATACTAATTTTATTTGAAAAAGGGCAAAAATAACTTGTTGCTTTGAGGAGATTACTGACCACTGAACTGCCCGTACAGGTGCGCCCTCTACTGGTGCAGCAAAATATTTTTTGCAATTCAGATCATAGATTCTGTTCTTCAGTGCATTGGATAAAAATGTTGAATGTAGCAGTTATAGGAACAATAAACTGGGATTTGGGAGGGACTGTGGCCAGTCAGAAACACAGAATGCAGAATAGTTTTTTTTTTTTTTACTTTGTTCAAACAATAAATTCTTCCGTCTTGTATGAAACTAAAATCCAGTTTCTCTCCTGATTATTAAGCCTGCAGTACGTAATTTCTGAAATTTTTCTATATTTTTTAAAAAATATCACCGTGTTGTGAGATTTTTATATGAGACAGATAATCTGTAAAGACATTGAACTCCCCCACGACCTCCCAGTGTTACTACCGTTGTCTGCAAAAAGCACCAAAAACAACCAATCAGAGCCAGGAGGCGGGTCTTAGCGCTGTCAATCAACCTCCTTTACACTGATCTGAATGAAAATGGTGGAAAAATAACTTCCTACAGAGGAAAACCATTCTACTATCATCGATGTTCAGGCTAACTTAGTAAATGGTCAAAGTTGAAAAGGTCAATTATAATATTAATACATTGTTTCCTGGAAGAGTGAATGAAAGTGGAGCAATGAAAGAAGTACAAAAAGCTAAAAAAAAAAAGTTCAAAGACTGAAATGACATTGATATAGTTATTGTGGAACAAACATTTACTGTATTGTAAAATCTCACCTGTATTCATAGCTGATTATTTTTAGTTCAAGCAAAACAAAGATTACTAAGTTATTTACCAAAATAAAATGAATGAATGAATGAATTTTAAGAATACAAAAGTGGTGATGAGCAAATTTTAACAAACGTAAAAAAGAACCAATATTAAAGATAATCTGACTGAAGACTTCCACTGTATTCACTTTATGTTGAAGTCATCATGTTAAATACACACTGGGACATACCCATTAATGTTTTTAATGGGTATTTATTATATGCTTTAATTTTTCAGGTTTGACATTATGAATTTTAGTTGAAACAGTTTTTTCCTGTTCTAAACTAATTCATTCTTTAGAAACAAGGGCAACAATAACTGGATGCTTTAACCAGGTTATTGATCAGTGAACTGCTCCCTCTAGTGGTTCAGAAAAGTTTTTATACTTTTATATCATCCATTTGATCATAATTTAAAAGATAACAGCTAAGAAATGAACAATTTGATATATCTGCTGTAATATCAACACCCTAAAGCATAAATCGATGTTTATCAAACTTGAGTATTTATTCTAAATTATTAGAATTATATATAAAATTCTGTTCTAATTATTAAATGAGGGAAGTTGTAAACTCATAGCAACAAAGTTATTACTCTCAATGCAGTAGGCAGCTTTTATAAAAATGTGGGACATCAACTTAACAAATATTTTATAAAAGTTTCCTACTGTAGTTTTATTAAGTTTAATGTGTTACAGACGTCCTATCTGTTCTAAATAAAGGGGATAATGACAGGCTGATGATTTGTTGAGGCAAGGCAGGATGGTTCATGCTGCCCCATTTATTCACAAGCTAATTAATTACAGTGATTTATTTTCCATGAAAGGAAAAACAAAGCAAAGCAAGAATCCATGTCATAAGAGAACAATATACTAAAATACACAATCAAGGCAAAAAACCTCAAAACAAACTCATTTGTCAGTTTGTTTGATCAAAAGTTTTAATAAACACAAATGTTTAATGTGTAAACCAGAGTTCTTGTTTTGCCATTATTTCCAGATAACGTCTCTTATCAATCAAGGAAATGTGATTTATTTCCCTGTGGAAGGATTTCCCTTTTCCCCAAGGTCAGACACGACGTTCTGCAGGATGGTCATAAACTCCTCCTCTTGTTTTATATCAAATATTCAGACATAAGCAGTTAAACTGTAAACGTCCTGGTTGCAATGCAGACTTAGAAAATCTAAAGTTTGTATTTGATCATGCAGAAAAGATTATTCTGGTTTGATCCTGACATTTCAGAGGAATGTGAGACATTCACAGAAACTCCTGTTTAAAATACATATAAAGCAACATTTTATGTTTTTGTTCGATGTTTTTGTTAAGTTGGCCTTTTATAATGACTGTATGATGATATGCATCAACATTGTTGCATTCTGTTGTGTTGTGTGACTGAGCTGAAATCAAAATGCTAAATATTTCATTAAGGTTGCATGTTAATGCTACTTTAATGATATAATTTAAAATTAAACAATGGAACATTTATGTTCTTCAAAAATAACGAGAACTTTATTGACTTGCAAAATGTGCTAAACGTGACTCGCAGATGCAATAACTGTTTTTGTTTTCCACGTAAACTGTCCATTTTATGAGTTATCAGGGAATCAACAGTTATTTAAAGATATGAATCATTTGTAAATGTATAAAATATATACCAACAAACAATTGATACTAATTTAGAAAGAGAAAAAATGTATTTCCTGCTTCCAGGTGTTGCAAGTTTTATGAATAAAGTTCCATATTGTGATAATGTTCAGTTAGTTTGAATCATGACCCTTTTTATGAGGATTAAACATTTGCAGTCCCTACGTGTCAATCTGGGTGTGACATTAATTAGACAATCAGTGGCTCCAGTTAATGGAGATCTCAGCAGTGTGCATGTATTATTAAACATTACTACACTTTGATTCAATGCAAATTGTCACTGATCAAGTAAAAATGACAAGATCACCTCTGAAAATAAAGTGTTGCAATATAAAAGTTTGCACAAGGCACGTTTAAAAACCACATTTGGACTTTGATAACTGATAGATGGAAACAATGTTTGTTCAAAAGATAAGAAATCAAGAGGGGGATATTTTTTCAGAAATTCAGACGCCAGCTTCCTTGTTTTGAGGCTGGAAGAAACAGAATATAAGAGCCGCTGTGTTTCTGGTGCAGCGCATTCAACCTGCAGACCGACTGTAAACGTGGAAACTTCCTGTGGTGTGATTGGTCGAAATTATTATCTCTTTACTGTCTTCAACCTGCATCATCAACGCCATGATGCGTCTCCTGCTGCTTCTTTGTGCCTTGTTGCCTTTGTGTCAAACTGCTGGTTTGTATGCATATTATTACTACTGCTTCACCAATGTAAATATTATTCTCACCTTTAATCTAATGTTAAATTATGATATTTTTATATCTGGTATAATTCTGTAATTCATTGCTGTGTTTAATGCAGTGCTTCCAGTTGCTGTGGATGGGGCTGAGAGCCATGAGGCTCTTCCAGAAGGTGAGGCTGTATTTCATCAGATTCATTATTTTTTTTATGTTTTTTGAAACAGCTTCCAGATGTATTTCTAAACATCTGTCTTTCTGACTACATCCAGTGTTAGAAACAGGCCTTTTCTTGCTGCTGATGTTTTCATCCAGAGTAGTTTGATGAAGTGCTTTAATTAGTGAATCTTCTCTGTCTTAATATGAACAGTGAAAAACATATTTCAGTTCAATTCCAGTTACTTATATCTTCTGCAAATTCAATTTTTTCCTGCCTTTTGAACTAAGTGCTTTATGCTTGTGTTGTACAACATTTATGGATTCTGTTTTGGCTCTGATGGACTCTGTTTGCTACACCCAGAGCAGTTATTTAGTTAAAAATAAATAACAATAAAACAATCACTAGTCTTTTCATTAGCCCTAATCCTGATGTTGGTTTTTAAACATCTGAATGTTGCAGAGTGGCGACTAAATCAGACTGAGACGTTTTCCTCAGGGACACCGGGAAGCAAACTTATAAATGAAATCGTTTTTTAACACAGTTCAGGTTCAGTTTTTGTATCTATGCTTATTTTATGTCTTTTATTAGATGAAATATTCCCATACATTTATATCAGAAAGAAATGATTGTTGATTTTATTAAGACTGGATGAATTTTTTTCAGTTCCCAGCTGAGTTGCTTTTTCCTCGATAGAGAGACTATATGGACACCCTTTCATCAAACTCAATTTGACAGGTGGCCACGCCCCTTTTTAACCGGAAGTCCCGCCTTCCAGCCCATCCCCCCCTCTGCTGGTAAAAGGTCGTGCCCTAGAGAGGTTTTCTCACGACCCTAGCTGCTGGGAATGACCCAAAAGAGGTTTTCTCACGACCCCCAGGTCAGCGTTCAGATTACTCAGCGTTCAGATTACATCCCCTCCCTATCTGTCATGAGTCTGAATGAGTCTGAATGAGCCAATAGAAAGAGAGTGGGTTTGGTCTTTAGTATTTCTGCTATAAATAATCCTGGAAAAATGGAGTACTCTACTTGCAGCAGTCACTCCTAGTAGAACTTTACAATGAATGGGAATAAACGAGTTCATTCTGCTATTGAGAAAAATGAAGCTATCTCCCCTGCATCATGTATTGCAGATTCGGAGGTACCTAAACCGATCGATATCTTTGAGATAATGACGAAAACTCCGGTAGTGAA